TCTTCACCTTTCATAAGTAATTCCTAAATGTTTCTGAAATGTTACTTTTATATTCTCACAGTAGATGGTGATAGTATGTTATTTCATATTTTTAACCACAGTTGATATTGTCAAAACTATAATTTGTGCAATCTGATAATCATGTAGTAGTATCTAATTGTGGGTTTTAATTAGTATTTCCCCAGTGATTAAAGAAATTGAACACCTTTGCATGTTTTTTGTTTGAGTTTCTTCTTTGGTGTAAGGCTTTGACCCTTTGTGCCCAGCCCACCTCCCTTTCTTGGAACAGTCCGATTTGTAGGACCATTTTGTGCGTATCCTTCCATTCTGAAAAATAGTCTTTTCATTCTTTTAATGGTTTCTTCTGAAGAAGAGATTTTGTTTTTAGTTATAGGTATATTTTTAAAGTATATCATGAGATGATTTGGTATATGTATGTGTGATAAAATGATACAATAGTCAATTACATCCATCACCTCACATGGTTAGCAAAACATGTAGTGAGAACATTTGAGTTCAGTTACACTGTTCAGCACAGTATATAGTCACTGTGGTGTACATCAGATCCTGAGAACTTGCTACCTTACAGCTGAAGGTTCATATCCTTTGGCCATCTCCCATTTCTCCCAGCCCCAATCCCTAGCAATCCCTACTCCCTGACAACTTTTAATTTCTGCTTCTATGTGTTTAACTTTTTAAGATTCCATATGTGAGGCCGTATAGTATTTGATTTTCTGTGCCTCATTTATTTTATAGCATAATGCCCTCCAAATTCATCCTTCTTGGAAATGGCAAGATTTCCCCCTTTTTTGACTGAATGTATTCCACTGTATATAGAGGTTGAGTAGGACCAACATTTTTTTGGGTTTTTTTCAGATTTTGGGGTATTTGCAGAGACATGAGTATCTTGGGGGTGGAGCCCAAGTCTAAACACAGAATTCATATATGTTTCATACATATGATATATACATAATCTGAAGGTAATTTTTTGGGTGCTTGCTTTGTGTGCACATGTATGCTTTGGACATTGAACCCAGGCCTTGTCCTTCCTGAGCCGTGCTCTACTGCTGAGCTGCAGTCTCAGCTGTATCTGCCTGTTCTGTTTTGCAGTGCTAAGGATTGAACCCAGAGCCTTGTATGTGATAGGTGTAGACTCTACCAACTGAGCTATAATCCCAGCCCTGTACTGTATCTGGTTTTCTTTTTGGAGGGGGGCAAGGGTGTGGTGGTGGTACTGGGAATTGAACCCAGGGCCACTCTACCACTGAGCTACATCTCCAACATTGATTGATTGATTGGTTGGTTGAATGATGACTGAGGAGGGGTCCCTTTTTATTTTCTATTTTGAGACAGGGTCTCCATAAGGTGCTAAGTTTCCTAGGCTGGGATTTTTTTGTTTTCTATTTTGAGGCCAGGTCTCACTAAGTTGCCTGGGCGGGATTCAAACATGCAGTCCTCCTGCACCTGCATTTTGATGACCGCCTGTCTCATAGGTCAGGTATGGAATTTTGTACTTCAGGCGTCATATTGGTGCTCAAAAAGTTACAGATTTTGGAGAGTTTCACAGTCCAAACTGTTGGATTGGGGAAGCTCAACCTCCATCCATCTGTCATCACTTAGGTTGATTTGGTATCTTGGCTGTTGTAAACAATGCAGCAAGGAACATGGAGGTACAGATCTATTCAAGATACTGATTTTACTTTCTTTGGGTATATACCTAGGAATGGGATTCTTGAGTCATATGGTAGTTCAATTTTTAATTTTGTATTTATTTTTAATTAATTTTTATTCTGTTTTCTGTCTTGGCTGTACCAATTTACATTCCTGCCAACAACACTTAAACTACCTCTTGTTTTGTTTTGTTTTGTTTTGGTACCAGAGATCGAACTCAGGACCTTGTGCTCGTGAGGCAGGCGCCGGCACCACTGAGCTAAATCCCCGGCCCTGTTTTGCTTTTTTGAAACAAGATCTTGCTTTGTAGTTCAGGTTTGCCAGGAGCTGACTGTGTAGCCCAGGCTGGCCTCAAATTTGTGGCAGCCCTCCTGCCTCAGCCTTCCAAGTGCTAGGGTTACAGACCTGTGCCACCACACCCAGCTTTTGTCTTATTTTCTCTTGGTTCTTTGAGACAAGGTCTCACTGTGTAGCCCAGGCTGGCCTTGAACTCACAGTGATCCTCTTGCCTCAGCCTTCCAACTGCTGGGATCACAGGAAAGCGCCACCACGCCCAGCCCACCTCTTGTCTTTTAATGGCAGCTATCCTAACAGGTGTGAGATGATGACTCAGTGTAGATTTGATTCAAATTTCCCTTATTAGTGATGCTGAGCATCAGTTCATTTATTTGTTGGTCATTTGTATGTGTTTTGTTTTGTTTTGTTTTGTTGGTACCAGGGATTGAACTTGGTACCTTGTGCTTTTGAGGCAGGGGCCAGAACCACTGAGCTAAATCCCCAGCCCATAAACTTTTTTTTTTTTAGAATAACAAAAAATATTTTACTGAAACATAAGATTTACAGAAGTTTCCAGACAAGCCATACAAAATGGTCACAAGCTTTTTTTTGAAGTGGGGAATCTACACTTGACAGCAAAGTCAAAATGATATTAGTGAGGGCTGTGATGTTTGTTAATGTTCCCATTTTGGTTCAATCAGCTTGTCCATCTATATCATCTAAATAAAGTTAGACTTGGCTAGAGAGCGTATTCTAGAGAATTGGTTAGCTGCTTTTTAACCAATGCAATTAGATCACCATAAAAGAGGGGGAAAGGAGTCCATAAAATTTTGAAACTGCTTTTCCCCTCAAAAAATAAAATAAAGAATTCCCATACCCCTGCAGCTAACCCTGACAACTACCTTCATTCACAGTGCTTTATACTTAAACCATGATGGGGAAAATGAATAAAAGCAGAGGGCCACTGCTTTTAAACGTTTCACGACAATCCCGTTGATACTTTTAGCCTCTGCTCATGGTTTACGACAGTGAATCAGGACAAGACATAGATTTTCTAACGTGCATTTAATCACCAAAGGACTGAAAATGTCTGGGCTTTTATTCTGTAATGTTTCTAAGACCATGTCCATTAAATGCAAACAAAAAAGGAAGAAGTCTTGGCAGAACAGGAGAAGTGACACAAACTTGATGATCGGATCGACTTCAATATTATTCATGGCATATAACCTAGTCCATGTTCTAGCTGTTTCTGTGGCTTGGGCTTCATTGAAGGTCTTCCACTGCTCCGCTACGTCGTTTGCTAATGGGTCGTCTGGATTAGGAGCACTTAACAAAGCCTGGATTGAGAGCAGAACTGTGCGGATCTGCAGTGCTGGGGACCATTTATCTTTCAAAATATCTAAACATATTCTTCCCAACTTGTCTACATTAGGATGATAAATTTTGGTCATGAAACGTACTTTAGGTGCTGCCATTTGGTATTCTTCGGAAGAAACAGTTCAAGTTTAAAAGTCCCTCCCTCAAAGGGAATCCTGGGGGCCAGCAAGGACCACATGAAAATAACGAGCGTTGCTCTCATCTGGTTCCGCTTTAATGCCAGGAACTGGTTCTGCCAGCAAACGCTGAGTTTCCTTGATGATCCTGCGGGGCAGCCCAACCATCTTGTCAGATCCCGTCTTAGGCCTCTGGTTGAGTCTCCGGCTCCGCTCGCCTCAAGCACGAGTGGAAGTCCTGGGCTCCACTTCCGGGGGACGTCGCCGCGCCCGCCGCCGCCGTCGCCAAGGCCCCTCGGGAAATGTCCCATAAACTTTAAAAAAAAAAATTATTATTATTATTTTTTGGTACCAGGGATTGAACTCGGGACCTTGCGCTTGCAAGGCAGGTGCGGAACCACTGAGCTAAATTCCCGGCCCCATTTGTATGTCTTTGGCAAAATATCTATTCAGGTCCTTTGTCATTTTGGGTTTTTGGTTTTTTTTTTCATTTTGGTTTTTTGAGACAGTCTTGCTATACAGTTCAGGCTGGCCTTGAATTCACTCTGTAGCCCAGGCTGGCCTTGAATGCACATTACTGAAGATTGAACCCAGAAGCTTTGCACTGCACTCCATACTTTCTCTGTAATTATTTGTTTTTGTTTATCTGTGGCCTTCCAGCAAGCCTCTTAGGTCCTCTGGTGTAGTCTGTGTGTATGTGTTTCCAGGGATTGAACCTAGAGCTTTCACACTGAGCTAGGACCTCCCTAGCCACCTTTTTTGTTTTTCATTTTGAGACAGATTCTTGCTAAGTTGCCCATGCTAGGCTGAACTTGTTGTCCTCCTGCCTCAGCCTCCTGGAGTGCTAAGATTACAGATATGCATGAGCATACCCAGCTGAAGCAAGTTTTTAGTATTGATTCCCCATCTGCAAGATGAAAATAATGGGAATAATCTTGTCTCATTGGTTTCTGACAAATACTGAGATAATACATGTAAAACTCTCAATACAGAATGTCATATATAGTGCTCAATAAATGTTATTTTTAGTTTTTGACTATTCAAAAATAGTTACTTTGGGCCGGGTATTTAGCTCAGTGGTTTCGCCACCTGTTGCGCAAGCGCAAGGACCAGAGTTTGATCTCCGGTACCAAAAAAAAAAAAAGTTACTTCAAAAACAAGTAGACTTTTGGAAAGTCTTCAAAGATTAATAAACAGATGCTAAATGGCTGACTACGTAGTATCAAAACTGTTTAACTAGGAGTGTAGTTAAGTGGTAGAGCCCTGTGTTCATGTCTTAGTATAAAAACCAAACCAAACCATTGTTTTTAATTGTAGTTAAGACTAAGAGTTATATGGAAATAGTATGTCCTGTAATAAATTTCTCTTTGACTGTTTTGGCAGTTTTATTGTAGTTGCATTGTTTATAAAATCTATTAATGTGTTAATTAATCAATAGAAATCACTGAGTAATTTCCAGAATATATTTAAAATGGTAATTCAAGCTACTCGCTGTTTATATCCTAATATTGTATTAATGTCTATATCTGGAAGAATAAAATATTTTGTTTCTCATTGCAGCAGAATGGCCAAAGACTATGACAGGTCTTCCCAGCACGTCAGGGACAACAGCCAGTGTGGTCATCATACGGGGCATGAAGATGTATGTAGCTCATGTGGGTGACTCAGGGGTGGTCCTTGGAATTCAGGATGACCCGAAGGATGATTTCATCAGAGCTGTGGAGGTGACACAGGACCATAAGCCAGAACTTCCCAAGGAAAGAGAACGAATTGAAGGACTTGGTGGGAGGTAATGATTCTGCTTTTTTGTTTTTCTCTTGTTCTATTTAGCTACTTCTCCCTCTTAATTAAGTTGATTTTTTTGTAAAATGGATTTTAGTTTGCCTGATGCAAAACTCCATTGTAGTCATATTTACCTCATTTTGAATTGATTTTTATTTCTCATAATACCTCCAAAAGGAAAATAATATATCAAGTCAACTAACAATACATGTAAGATTTTTTGTATACTATGGAGTGAACCCAGGTTCTTTGCACTAAAGTACATCCCTAGCCTTTTATTCTTTTCATTTTTTAAATTTTGGGGCAGGGTATTGTTAAATTGTTAAGTTGCCCACATTGGGCTTGAATTTGTAATCCTCCTCCCTCAGGCTCCCAGAGTGCTGGAATTATAAGCATGAGCCACCAGGCCCAGCCTCATACAAATTTTATTGAAAACCTTTCACATAAGCCAGGAGTGATGGTTCATTCTTAAAATCCCAGCACTCTGCGAGGGTGAGGCAGGAGGATTGAAAGTTTGATGTCAGCCTGGGCAACTTAGCAACCCTGTCTCAAAATAAAATTTTTAGAAAGTGCTGGGGATGTAGCTCAGTGGTAGAGCACTTGCCTAGCAATATGCGAAGACCTGGGTACAATCTGCAGTACTGCCTCACCCCAAAAAAATTATGCATGAATTTTTAAAAATCATTGAGTCATTGTCTCTTATTTATTTATTTGTTGTATTGGGGATTGAATGTAGAGCCTTCTTTGCTTTGAGGAAGCTGTACCACTGAGCTACAATTCTAGTCTTTTAAAATTTTTTGAGACAGATCTTGGTAAGTTACCTGGTCTCTCTTGAACTTGTGATCCTCTTGCCTCAGCCTCCTGAGTAGCTAGGATTACAGGTATGTGCCACTGCACCTGGCCATGCGTGAGTTTTATTCTTTTATTTTAATTTTTTTTTTTTTTTAAGAGGAAATTTTGGGCCAGGGATTTAGCTCAGTGGCACCAGGTCCTGAGTTCGATCCCCAGTACTTAAAAAAAAAAAAAGAGTAGGAAATCTTATTGAGAGGAAACCTTCTGAGAGAGACAGGAGGGGACAGGAAAGTGGGTTGTCACACATGAGTTTTAAAAAATAAGTCTTCTCAGGCCAAGGATTAAGCTCAGCCTGCCTGCCTGGTAAGCGCAAGATCCTGAGTTTGATTCCTGGTACCAGGAAAAAAAAGTCTTCCCAATATTTTGTAAAATTAGTAGTACTAATAAAATGTA